TGAACCCCAAACCCAGACTTTAGGGTTTAGGGTTTAGGGTTTAGGGGTTTGGTGTTTAGGGGTTTTGGGGTTTTGGGTTTAGGGTTTAGGGGTTTTGGGTTTAGGGTTCAGGGTTTAGGGTTTAGGGGTTTAAAAGGTTTAGGGTTCAGGGGTTTTAGGGGTTTAGGGTACCTCTCATTCTTCCCAAGGGCCGGCTGTACCCAACGGTGGTGCCATGAGGGCCACTGGATGCTCCGGGTCCTGACCAGTTGAGAAAAAAACCCTTGACACACCATAGTCTGAGCCAGGTCGTGATAAATCTGTGGGTTTTACAGGGCTTCGTAAGGATTTATGGAGTTTTATAGGTATGAATGTGAAATGGATCCCTTGTCGCTAGAACTGGTATCAGTAATGGTACTAATGTTACGTAGGAGCAGTACTGCTAGTATAGGGGCCTTAATTAATAATTAGAATAGGGTTTGGGGGTATATTGTACTACACAAATAACAAGGAACCCCCAAAATAGTATAGGTAATTATAAAGGCATCTCTATTAGAACTGAGCGATACCCCAACTGCCCCTAAACCCTAAACCCTAAACCCCAAACCCCAACCCCTAAACCCTAAACGTCATGCGAGCCGAGCCACCGTGTCCCGAACCAGAACGCCGCCGCAAGCGCCGGGCAGCTGTCGGGCGTCCAGCAGCGCGAATGCACCCGTCTCCTTCATCACGGTAGGGTTTAGGGTTTAGGGTTTTAGGGTTTAGGGTTCGCTTCATTCTTGTTCGTAGTTGTATCAGTATAAGCAAAAGTGGTTAGTGCTAGTCATTATACTAGTAGAACTACGAGTATTAGTGCAGCACTGGTATTGCTAGTAGTATACCTGCAGCAGAGTAATTAGCAGCCGTTGTAGCAGCAATCGTAGTCGTAGCGGTAGCGGCAGCAGCAGCAGGCAGGGGCAGGAGCAATGGCGTTGGTGGTGCTGGCGGTGAAGGTGGTTCTGGTGCTTCCAACTCGGGGACGCGGTACTGCATGGATGAACAAAGAGCCCTAGAACCCTAACCTAGCACCCAAAGCTTTCTGACATTCCGTACAAGACCTCCAGCATCTGAAGAGAAGGCCAACGACACTGCAGCCTCTGCAGCTGCAATGAAGCCAGTCGTCTCCATGCCCAAGAAAAGGGATGCCTGCATATCGCCATGGACTTTGTTGTGCTCGGTTGTAACATCATTTTCTAGGATGACCTAAACCCTCTACCCTAAATACTATGGGTGCCCTTCTTCTTACGAGTCAGTTCGAAGAAGCTTCGGCAGGAAATCTATAAGTCCTGCCGTATACCGGTCTTGGGGGGTTATTATTATTGGAGCCTTCATTCATAGAATGGAGTTTTCGGGGGTGGGGTGTTACGTAGTTGAACTAATGTAATCATAGCTATATCAATGTACCCGAAGGAAAGCTATTGGTAACAAATTACATATAGCTTTAAAGTGGAACGCTAACAGAAAACCCTTAGGAATAGTGTTGGTTATTGTTCCGTTTATGGATGACCCTCACAAAACCCTGTATATCCCCTACAAAACCTCATAGCGGAGGCCTTGAGCAAGGCAAAGGGCGATGAGAGCAGTCGAACACAATCCCCTTGACGAAGCCGCGTCTCCTGCGCAGCAAACATCTATGGGTTGCTTGAAGGTTTTGGGCTTTTGGCGCTTAGGATTTAGGGTCGAGGGTTCTTAGGGAACATCTGGGGGCTTCCGAAAATAGGGGACTGTAGTATAGTACCCTAAAGTAATAGGATCCTTAGTATAAGGACCCCAAAAGAAGGTACCCTTTATTTTCGGGAACTCACATCTATGTTTGGGCTTCTGGGGTGTAGGAATTAGGGATTAGGGGACGCAGAGATGTCCGAAAGCAGCCTTGAATCAGCAGTTTTTGCCTGAATTCCGTCACCAGAAGAGCCCAACACGCCCCGTGCTTGTCCTTTATGGGTTTGGGGTTTAGGTTTAGGATAGATGTAAAACTTAACCTTTGGAGTCATAAATATAGGGGTACATAGGGTTTATTCTGCCCACAAAGGCTAAAGGGTACCTACTCTACTACTAGGTGACTAGGCTCTTCACTGAGGAATATACGATCCATCGGATTTGGATGCCTTGATACTTCAAGGGATGCAGCCCTGCTAAAGCCGAAACTCTGAACCCTAAAGGAAAACCTAAACCAGTAGCTTCAATCCTCAAGAGTAATGTATAGGGAATCCCAGCACCAATTGTCCTTAATCCGGATTCCAACTTTTTGGGGTTTACCACCCTAAACCCTAAACCCGAAACCCTAAACCCTAAACCCGAAACTCTAAACCCTAAACCCTAAACCCGAAACCCTAAACCCTAAATTCCATGCTCCAGAACCCTCGGAGAAAGCCGGGAGCCTCCCATAGCTTACCTTCGGTTAGTAGGGAATGGAAGAATGGTAGTAATAGTAGTTATAGCCTCAATCCTTAAAAGCAATGTATAGGGAATCCCAGCACTATTTGTCCTTAATCCGGTTTCCAACTTTTTGGGGTTTACTATAAGTGTACCCCATTCCTCCATTCCCTACTAACCAAAGGTAAGATAGGCCTTCAACCGAGAAACAGCTGGCGGCTTCTTTGCAGCTATAGTAAACCCCAGAAAGTTGGAAACCGGATTCAGGACAAATATTGCTAGGATTCCCTATACATGACTTTTAAGGATTGAGGCTATTGGGTTTCCAACTTTTCGGCTTCTACTGTATAGTGAACCCCAGAAAGCTGGAACATGGCTTAAGGAATGATTAGTGCTAGGATTCCCCACACTTTTCCCTTAAGGGCATGAGGATCATGATGTTCCAACTTGCAGGCTTCTACTGTCGATATCCCTCTTGCGAGGTCTTCGTAACAATATGAAGATCCTAGGGTTGTAAATTTAGGGTTTAGGGTTCAGGGTTTAGGGTTCAGGGTTTCGGGGTTAAGGTCTAGGGTTTTTGGCACGGGATTTCCCTTCTGCACACCCTGGCGCCAATCTAGGCACTAGCCCCTGTAAGAGTATCATATACTTCCATGTCTTATAGCCCCAACCCCCTCCTAAACCCCGAAAGCCCTAAACCTACCGTGTTCGAATGACTAAGGCATATTCTCACCTCAACCCCCTAATCCTGATTGAATCCTTACAGGAACTCTCCAATGGTCCAAGAACTCCAAACAGGACCGCTACTAATGTATGGGCCTTAATAATTAGAATAGGGTTTTGGGGGGTTCCTTATTATAATTGTAGTATAATGGGCCCCAAAACCAATTCCAATTATTTAGGCCCCTATATTACTCCAAAACTCCATTCTAGCCGTACCGGCCCGGAATCCCTTAAAGGCACCCTGATATTGAGCCCCGAATAATTAGAACAGGGTTTTGTCAAGGGCTTTTAGTTTGGCCCCTTATCTTTGTTACCTTGTCTTTTTGGCATTTTGGGGGCAAGTGCTATCTGACAGCATTTGTACTACTTTCTCGTGTAAGCAAGTATGTTAGCAAAAGCTGAGAGCCGGCTACTAGACGCCCCTAAGACACTCCAGACACACACACACACACACAACCACCTTTTGGGCAGTCTCCGTCCACTTTTTGGTCTTCTTAGCCTTCGTTCCCTTCTCTTTTGGGGGGCGCGATTTGAAGGGCTGGTTGCGGTACTCGGATTGGGTTCGGGGGCTTTGGAGGCCAACTTGGGTTGCTATTTGCTTACTCGGATGGAAACTCCCGGTTGGGCCCCAAACCGGGAATCGTTAACAAGCTGAGTGGCGCTCAATTTACCCCAGGACCCAAGTACACCCTGCACTTCAGGCCCAATCTGCTCGGATGGCTTTGGGGGGCTTTGAAAGCACGGTTTGGGGGGCTGCTTGTCATTGAAACGCCTGCCAGCCGCTCCCGTCCCTGCTGCCGCCCTCCCTTCCAGCCCCTCCCGGATGACACACCTGTAACCCCCCAAAAGGCAAGGGAACAAACCTTCAACACGAGTGCGGGCTGCGTTGAAGGTTTGTTCCCTTGTTTCGGTTCCCGCCCCAAACACAAGGTGACAAACATGCAGGTCCAAGATGCCCGCCTCTGAACCCCAAGGTTCTTCGCCAAGCGTCGGTGTGCGTTGGGCGGCGGGGTTGGCAACGGGGTTGGCGAGGGAGCCACGGGTGGCGAGGGGGCCACGAGTGGCGGCGGTGGTGCCTGAAGGTGACTGGGCACGCCTCCTGCAATCGGTCCTGCAACTGGTGCCTTCGCGGCTGGGTTGGGTCCTGCCGCTCGCGCTTTTGGCGTACTGCCTCCTGTGAACGGGCCTGTCAGTCCTGCAACTGGCGTCTTCGGGGCTGGGCCCTTCGGTCCTGTAGGTGGTGTTGTTGGGGTACTGGTCGGGCGGGGCGTAGCTGTTTTTGGCTGCTGGGGGCGTTCTGTCGGGTCTCGGTAATCTTCTCTAGATTCAGTGCCACGGCCATACTCGAGCCGCGACTGAAGAATTCAGGTTGCTGCGCACTGAACTATTAACTATTCAAACCAAGGAATCGTCGAAAACCCATGGTCACAAACATTAGGGGTCAAACCTTTTTACTTTGATTTTGGGCTCCTTTACGGCATACTGGAGGTTCGTGGGTAGTTATAAGCAGGGTTATAAGTAGGGTAACCATAATTATAACCCATATTAGGGGACTTATAACCCCACTTATGACTACCCATGATCCTCCAAGTACAGTAGCTACCATAAGGAACGTAAGGAATAATGTTGGTAATTCTTTAGGCTTCTATATTACCGAAGACCAAAATCGCTGGGTGGGAAAGGCGTAGAGAAAATTTTGCAGCCCTCAGTTCAGAAAACCTAAACCCCTAAACCCTAAACCCCAGTATCCTACCAAACCTGGAGCATACCCTGACAATCCAGCGCACCCACTCCCTCAACCCTAAACCCCCAAACCCTGAGCCTTCGGATTCCCTGATAGTCCCTCTGTCATTACAATCTGATCTATTTAGGGTTCAGGGGTTTAAGGTTTAGGGCTTAATCTATACGTATACATATACATATACATACATACATACATACATACATACATACATACATACATACATGCATTCATTCATATTTTTCTCCAAACATCACCTCGTTGGGTATCCTGATCGATTTTGTGACACCCCAAGGCCAAAACCATGCAGACAGAACCCTCGCAAGAACTCATCTAGAAAGCCAAAGTGGACCCTGACTCAGGCAAACAAAAAGCCATCCGTTTTGTCAAGGCCTGTATAGCCAGAACCTTTCAAGGGAACCCTTAAAAACGGCCTCCTGAAACGACACACGTACTAACCCCCCCTCTCCCTTCCCCTCCCCCCTACGGTTGATGATGTAAATCCTGCATTACCCATAATAACGAATATACCAGAATTCCCCTAGTTTAGGGCCCTCAGGGTAATGCAGGATTTAGATCACCAACCCCTAAACCCTAAACCCTAAACCCTAAACCCTAAACCCTAAACCCTAACCACCCACCTCCTTGGGTAGGAGGGCGAAGCCCTCCTCTGGCCGCGAGGCGAGGCCTCAGACCCAGAATCAGAGCCCCGGGAGGGCCCCAAAAACTGATCCACTCATTTGGGTTTAGGGTTTAGGGTTTAGGGTTTAGGGTTTAGGGTTTAGGGTTTAGGGTTTAGGGTTTAGGGTTTACGGAGGGCCCAAAAAACTGATCCACTCATTGGGGAACCTGTGCTACCGAAGCTAAAATGCAGATCCACTCATTTGGGAGCATGCGCTACTAAAGGGTCCCTTTGTCGGAACCCCTTCACGGATCGAGTGTTTTGGTTCCTCCCGGGGGTCTGGGCAGAGGCAGGAGCAGCTTCGATGGGGATGTCTCAAACTCCTTTCAAGGGTTCTACAAAGGTACAATCCGGGTTTTGGGTTTAGGGTTGAGGGTTTGGGGTTTAGGGTCGAGGGTTTAGGGCCTTATTTAGGGTTCAGGGTTTACGGCCTTTAGGATTTAGGGTTCAGGGTTTA